CATGAGTACTTTAGGAAACTAGTGAACAGTTTGGTATCAACTGTTTGGTTTCGCAAGGTTCATAAAACATGGTTTACACATAGGCTCGTTTCGTATTTTATTAATCGCCTCTTTTATGCAAACCCAATTATCGAAAATGAACGGAGAATTCCATGCTTGTTTTTCTGCGTGAGGGGAGATAATTTAAATGTTTTCTAAATTAGATATTAAATTATACTTCCATCATAAATCAGAATAACATATGTTAGCAGTTTGGGAAGTTATACAAAGTATCTTGAAAATGAACAAAAAGAAGAAGAATAGTTTATTTATGTGTCACTATTTAAACACCCTACCATTTAAGCAGTAAGTAAACACTGTCATTTAACCCTCAATTAGTTAATTAGTATAGTTAACCTGCAGTATACTGTATCTCTTCGCGTTTAAACAAGGATTGATCCCTTGTGAGTTGTTGGTGAGACATGTAAATCAATATCTGGAAGTTCGGGATTAGCCTTAGTCACAATAAATTAACATTCCACACAATACATTATCCATCATTATGCCTTTAATTAGAAAGTGAGAATGATACATAACGGGCCATGTCTGCATTATTTATTTTATTTATGTGTCAAATGTGGTATGTGTACACATTAGACATAAAAAAACTTCCGTAAATACATACAAAATGAGGCTATAAAAGGCCGGTGTGAGACACAATGGACAATGAAAAAACATTATTTATATAAAAGAAATATAACTTGTAGGATACAAATGAGTTACAATTTAAGTAAGAAAATGTTGCCTACGTGCGGCAAGAGGTTTTATAAACTGACGTCCAAAAGAAACTTTACCAACTGAAAATATAAATTTGAGACAAAGTATAAATTATTTTTCGATGACGACTATCTAAAACACATTACCTAAATACAACAATAGTGTATGCAGAAATTGTTAATCGTCTGTTACATGTTTGCGAGATAACACGCGAAAAAGTGAAAAACACGTGCGCAACGGACAACTGCAAGTGCACTTGCGGGTAAGGGTATATAACGATTACAACGGCAAATCAGACATCCACAGTGCTAAAAAAAAAGGAATGCCACGACTCACAGTCGAACAACGTGAACGAGCCTTGGGTATGTTACAGATGGGAGCCACCCAAGCCAATATTGCACGAACCTTCGGCGAACTCCCGTGTGTTGCCGTTACCAACTTGATGCAACGTTTCAGACAGACAGGGCGGACCGCTGACAGGCCAAGAACAGGCAGACCCAGGGTGACCACGCCCCATGATGACCGGTACTTTCGCACCTTGCACCTCCGAAATCGCTTCCTGACAGTAACGTCATCGACGACAAATGCCTTAGGTCACAGGGATAGTCGACAGACAGTGGCCAGGAGACTCAGGGCTCATGGAATCAGGGCTATTTAATTCGCCGCCAAAAACGAAATATTTCAATATGCTGTTTTGTAAGTAGGCTTGTCCATCCTAATTCGCCATGGACTGATAGATTTGGAGTTTTGTTATTAACCGCGAGGAAGAAACGAGCATCTCTGTTTTGAACAGAATTAAAACAGCTGAACTGCTTGAGGCCCCTGATAATGTATAGGCTCAACAAGATTATCATACAATTTATTAAAAACTGAAAATGACATACCACCCGCTAATTTAAATTTACAGATAAGAACACCAAGGGCTCTATTTGCTGATTTTGCCAATTCCTTAACAGAATAAGTAATATCCAAATTATATAGCCTGCACCTTGTTGCCTTTGAGAGAGTCTGTGTCTGTAGAGCTGGTTTGGTCATTGTCTGTTTGGTATTCACTCGCTGGAACACAAATATTGGATATTAGCATTGTATTGTGATTTTGAGAATCCGGGTGCATATATGACATGTAAATATATTTCCGCTTATAGTTCTTGTTGTCCATGCATATGTTCTAGCAATAATCAATTTGATAAATATTCGGTTTGCTTAATTTCTACTTTGAAAAGCTTCGTTGGTCTGTATAATTTATCACGCATATGGTTGGGTGCAAACAACATTATGTTTATTTCTCATAAATTAAACCACCAGCGGCGGTACTGGAGCATATATCTAATGTCATACAATACAGAATAGTACGTCAAGGTTGCAGTTTCCATGTAAAGATTGTGTATTTCTAAAGCTATGTACAATATATCTTGATAACTGTTTTCAATCTTAGATATTTTGTGAAAATGATAGTGGAAATGGTTTAATACATAAACTGGATGAGTGATTTACATCATTAAAATATAAAAAAATCTACACAGTGATACACGTATAAATGGCGAGTTGGGATTTATTTAAGAACGAAGTCAGTAATTGGGGATTTAAATTGCGCTTTCCGACATTATGCGTATTTCGCACACGGTTAAGAAAGAATTGTAATTCATCTATTCATACCAAGTACGAATGCATCAATCCACCCGCGTTGTATCTACTTACATGTTCATTAATGCCAAAGGACACCAACATCACAGGACTCAGTACATAGTTCGTTGAATGTTGTTTCGTAAATACACATATTGCTTATCACATTCCCAGAGCACAAGCCCAAATAGGCCGTCCCTTTGTGACAGGTATTAATTAGAGAATGTATCGCCACCACATTATGTCCAGGCACTTTTATGACAAGTAATGAACCTGTCAGTCCATGGGTCTGTAACAACTTTATAACATTAAAGTAACATGAATGTTACGTAATTCGTATTAAATAAACAATTGACTAATAGGTTATAAAATGAATATTATTGCGCTTTGGGGGATAAAAGTAAAACTTTTGTTTGGGATGAAAGTAAAAAAAAATACCCTTAAAAAGACATGATTATAGAATTTCAGAATCAACTATTTTGATGCACGTCTTCACACAAACTGAAAAAGTATACATATGTTTATATAGCTATATTTACATGCATGGCACAAAGATTAACATGAAATAATAATGTTGATCATATTTGTTAATTTCTTCATTTCATTGTTATTGGTATTCTGAGGATGTTGTAACACGGGTTATGGTCTTCTTTGAACTGGTTGAATGACTTTCTACCCACACACATACCCATAATCCTTTGACAAAGAGAACGAAATGATCATAAATCCTACAGATATCATATCTACCTTGTACTAAAAGTTCACTATCAATTTACGCGAAACTATTGCACCACTTTTGTGAATGAGGAAGCGAATTTTCGCATCACTGAAATTTTTCGTGAGTAATCACATACATATTCCTCAACCTTATATTTGGAAATGAATCATTTTTTTTAATTTTCCCTGCTACATGAATAAGTTACAAGGAGATCAACTCTCTTTTTCTCTACTAAAAATATTTAAACTCATGTTGATATGTAATTAATGATGTCTCCTTTTTAGACGTGATCTTGGAGGAAAATGTGAGTTCTGTTGTGATCAATCAGATCCATCTTTACGCCCATTGGCTTCGACATGATCTTCTGCGATGGTGATAAGAAGTCTTCATGAACAGATATCATTTATTTGCACTTTGTTCTTGTACCACCGCTGGTGGTTTTGTAAAGAATTAGACTTCCAGTGATTATATGTATTAGGTTTGGCGAGGCATTATTTTAATCGACCTTAATATTTATGTACTGTTATGAGAAAGATCTACAAAGAATTGGAAATGGCGATTTGAAAATGATATATCATGCCTTAGGTTTCCCTTACCATTACCATTTGTAGTCGATGCATGTTAACAAGTCAAAGTATGGCATTTATGATATAGGTATCCCTTCCCCCTCACCTCAAGGCTTCAATAGCACTAATCGGACCGTGGTTGCTTCAGATATCGATTGGAGTTATCTGCCGGTCACTTCTCGCATGATTTCACTGTTTCTGTGTTTCGCTGTTTTCTGTCACTTTTGAGGAGAAGTGATGTAATATTTCAGAGCTCTGATTGGACACATTGGCCTGTCTGGATAAACCACTGACGATAGTGTAGCTGATGACTAATTCTTGGCAACAAAGTGTGCCAGGGACCTGAAATTTTGTGTGCGTCAGTCTTGTGCGTGAGTGAGCGAGGAAATATCAGACGCGTGACTTTTCTTCTGAATTGTCTGTCATTTCTGAATCCTGCAGCACATGTCATAGGCTTGTAGGGTGCGTCCATTACGGCTCACAGTACAATTGATAAATCTCATTTTGGGAAGTTGATTAAGAATTAGACTAGTACCTACAAAGCGGCCCTGTTGTTGACGTACAGAGGCCAATGCTCACATGTAGCCCCCATGGTGCCAAGTCGGAAGTTCTTCTCCTCTCCCAGACGGAACTTGCACATAGTTGATGGCTGATCAAGAGGGTCTTCGTGATCGTGCTACCGCTTCAGAAGCAGGTCCAGACACGCCAGTCTAGGTGTGACCATTCCACGTGGACTGTGACATCGTCCATGTCAGCGCATGAAATATGTGTATGCAGGTGATGTTCGTGAGCAGAAATATTCCTGGCATGGCATTGTGGGGTTCTGGCTCTGTGAAATTTCAAATCATGAACTGTTCATTAAAGGCTCATAAAGTAAGTTCATGAACTTGTTCAAGAATACTTGTAGATCAATTCATGAGCTAAGAAAAAACATCTAGATCAAGAGGAAGACGGCAGAGTGGTAAAATATGGGACAGCCAACAGCTCAATCAACTGGGTTGTAGGCTTCTACGTAGGTGATACAATTAGGTCTGATATATGGTGAAACAATTCAATTGTCATGTCTTCAACTGAGTACTGGCGTCATATGCACATTGTAATGAGAGGAGGTATTAGTGGTGAACATTATATGAATAGATCACTGAAAATCAGTGATAACACCAGAAGTTTGCGAAAAGGGAAGAATGTCTTGCCCCACCGATAGCACCCGACAATCACAGAACTTGCATAAAACAAGTAAATGTTTGTATTTTGCCTAACGTCACACACAGCATTCAAAAGCAGTCTCAAAACAGTCTGGACAAGACAATCCAGTGACACGATAGCGTGTTTACCAATAATGTTGAAACTAAAATGATATGTTCACTTTGAATAATTTCTGCAGCGTACTTGCTAGTAACAAACAAAGGGAAAGCTTAAGCAATATCTTCGTGGTTATTAAAACAGTGGGTGCATTTATAATGTCTTAGTCCTCATAATCATAAGCCCTCATTCACAATATATATATATGAGATCCTCAGCTGACTTTGCATGTTCATTGTGACTCAACACGCGAGACAACCTGAGACCAAAGGGCATGGATGTTGTGCTCACAAACCAAGATCCATAATGAGGCAGTATTTATTCAAATGTCCAATCACGGGATGTTGTCATTGGACGCACCTGTGCACAGCCTATCACCATGCACTAGACGAGTAGGCTATATATCACGAGGTGGTTTTCCAACCCATAGCTAGACCGTTTGATGGTAGGGGTGGGTGGCCGCGATCAGTTAACATTGATTGGATACCCTATGTTTCCTCAGTGTTTATACACTGGGACGAGGAGGTGTGTCTGGCTCAGTGTAGGGCGCAGGACGTTGGAGGACAGACTACACTGACAGTGTTCTTGATCGTGAAGTATCGATAAAGCAAGGGAATTTAGGAGGTAAGTTTATGAATTAATTATGTTCCTTTCATTGTTATGCAAAGGGAATAGACATTTTCTTCATGAATGCATCTGACAGAGAGGCACGTACGTTCAATAATAATAAAGTAATTGAGTTACCTGTCTGTACAAAATTACCTAACATAGAAGTCAAATATGTTCAATAGAAGTACAGAGTTATCGAGTCACCTGTCAAACACCTTGCACAGACGCCCCACCCTACCTTTATTCCTATCCTTGTCCCTATCCCATTCCTTGTCCCTTTCTCTATCATTGTCCTTGTCCATGTCCCCGTCCCTGTCCCTCTTCATATCTTTCCCTAACCCTATCCCTATCCCTAAACCTATTCCCATCCTTGTCTGTATCCTTGTCCCTATCCTCATTCCTATCACTATCTCTATTTCAATCCCCATCCCTATTCCTTACCCTATCCCTATCCTTATTCCTATCATTGTCCCTATCCCAATCCCTATCCCTGTCCCTCTCCCTATCCCTATTCGTATTCTTGTCTCTGTCACTATCCTAGTCCCTATCCCTATCCATAACCCTAACTTTATTCCTATTGCTCTCACTATTCCTATTCCTATCCATATCCATATTACTAACCCTATCCCTTTTCATATCATTGTCCCTGTCCATATCCCTTTTCCTATCCCTGTCCCTATCCCTAGCCCCATTCCTATCCCTATCCCTATCCCTATTCCTATCACTATTCCTATTCCTATCAAGGACAATCCCCATTCCTATTTATTCCTATCCCTATCCCTATCCCGGTCCCTACCTTTATTCCTATCCCTATCCCGGTCCCTACCTTTATTCCTATCCCTATCCCTATCCTTGTCCCTACCCCCATCCCCATTCCTAACCCTATCCCTATCCTTATTTGTATTCTTGTCCCTGTCACTATCCTTGTCACTATCCCTATCTGTAACCCTAACCCTATTCCTATTCCTATCCACATCGCTGTTTCTAACTATTACACATCCATATCCCACTCCCTGTCCCCGTCCCTATTCCCATCCCCATTCCTATCCCTATCACTATCCCTATTCCTACCCCTATCCCTATTCCTATCACTATTCCTATTCCTATCAAGGACAAACCCCGTTCCTATTTATCTCTATCCTTGTCCCTGTCCCTATTCCTAGCCCTAGTCCCAGCTCTTTCCCTTTCCCTAGCCCTATCCCTTTCCCTAACCCTATCCCTATCCCTAAACCTATTCCTATCCTTGTCCGTATCCTTATTCCTCACCCTATCCCTACCTCTATTCCTATCATTGTCCCTATCCCTATACCTGTCCTTGTCCCTATTCCTATTCCTATTCCTTGCCCTAGCCCTAGCCCTTTCCCTAACCCTTTCCCCATTCCTAAACCTATTCCTATCCTTCTCCGTTATCCTTGTCCCTAACCCTATTCCTATCACTATCTCTGTTCCTCTCCCATTCCATATCCCTACCTATATCCCTGTCAATGTCCATGTCTCTATCCCCATCTCTGTCCCTATCCCTATTCCTATCCCCATCCCTTTCCCTATCCCTATCCCTATCCGTATCCTTGTCCCTGTCCTTATCCTTGTTCCTTTGCCTATCCCTATCCCTGTCCCTGCCCCTATCCCTATGCCTGTCCCTATTCCTATATCTACCCCTATTCCTATGCCTATGCCTATGCCTATGCCTATTCCTATTCCTATTCCTAACTCTAGCCTTTTCCCTAACCCTATCCCCATTCCTAAACCTTTTCCTATCCTTCTCCGTATCCTTGTCCCTAACCCTATTCCTACCACTAAATATATTCCTATCCCCATCCTTAATCCTTACCCTATCCCTATCTCTATTCCTATCATTGTCCCTATCCCAATCCCTTTTCTGTTCCCTGTCCCTATCCCTATCCCTATCACTGTCCCTCTCCCTATCCCTATCCCCATCTCTATTTCTATCCCTCTCCCTATCCCTATCCCCATCTCTATTTCTATCCCTCTCCCTATCCCTATCCCCATCTCTATTTCTATCCCTATTCCTACCCCAATCTCCATTTCTATTTATCCCTATCCCTATCCATATTCCTATTCATATTCCTACACCTACACCTACACCTACACCTACACCTATCCCTATCCCTATCCCTATTCCTATCCCTATCTCTTTCCTCATTCCTATCCCTATTCCTATCCCTATTTCTGTCCTTATCCCTATTCCTATCCCTATCTACATTCTTATCCCTATCACTATTCATTTCCCTATCCCTATTGCTATTTCTATTCCTATCACTATTTCTAACCCAATCCCCATTCCTATCCCTATACCTATTCCTATTCTTATCCCTATTCCTATTCACACCTCCTCCATGGTACTTTTTGTTACCCTGTCTGGCGCTTGGCATTAAGGGGCTAAAACAAGGACTGGTCGGCTCGGCGTCGGTATACTGTGTCTGAGTGGGGTTTTCATGTTAAACTGCGGCATGGTATCCTTGTATGCTAGCACAATAAATCTGCATAAGACCGGACTAGTACAAGCAGCAACACACACGTCGCTATATAAGTGCAATAATCTTCGACGCAACGTTCAACCCCATTTGACCTCACCACCTACACCTTTTCCTATACCTACCACTATTACTATCCCTATCCCTATCCCTATCTCTATTCCAAATCCTATTCGTATTCATATCCCCATCACCAACCCCAAACCCATCCCTAACCCCATCCCAATCCCATCCCCATCCCCATCCCCATCCCCAACCCCATCCCCAACCCCAACCCCATTCCCATCCCCATCCCCATCCCCATCCCATCCCAATCCCCATCCCCATCCCCATCCCCATCCCCAACCCCATCCCTAACCCCAACCCCATTCCCATCCCCATCCCCATCCCCATCCCCATCCCGATCCCCTCCCCATCCCCATCCCCATCCCCATCCCCTCCCCATCCCCATCCCCATCCCCATCCCCATCCCCATCCCCATCTCCATCCCCTCCCCATCCCCATCCCATCCCCATCCCATCCCATCCCCATCCTCATCCCCATCCCCATCTCCATCCCCATCCCCATCTCCATCCCAATCCCCATCTCCATCCCCATCCCCATCCCCATCTCCATCCCCATCCCCATCACCATCACCATCTCCATCCCCATCCCCATCACCATCACCATCTCCATCCCCATCCCCATCACCATCCCCATCCCCATCCCCATCTCCATCCCCATCCCCATCCCCATCCCATCCCATCCCTACCCCATCCCCATCCCCATCTCCATCCCCATCCCCATCCCCATCTCCATCTCCATCCCCATCCCCATCCCCATCCCATCCCATCCCCATCCTCATCCCCATCCCCATCTCCATCCCCATCCCCATCCCCATCCCCATCACCATCTCCATCCCCATCCCCATCCCCATCCCCATCCCCATCCCAATCCCCAACCCCATCCCCATCCCTAACCCCATCCCAATCCCAACCCCATCTCCATCCCCATCCCCATCCTCATCCCCATCCCCATCTCCATCCCCATCCCCATCCCCATCCCCATCTCCATCCCCATCCCCATCCCCATCCCCATCCCCATCCCCATCCCCATCCCATCCCAATCCCCATCCCCATCCCCATCCCCAACCCCATCCCTAACCCCAACCCCATTCCCATCCCCATCCCCATCCCCATCCCCATCCCGATCCCCTCCCCATCCCCATCCCCATCTCCATCCCCATCCCCATCTCCATCCCCATCCCCATCCCCATCTCCATCCCCATCCCCATCACCATCACCATCTCCATCCCCATCCCCATCCCCTCCCCATCCCCATCCCCATCTCCATCCCCATCCCCATCTCCATCCCCATCCCCATCCCCATCCCCATCCCCTCCCCATCCCCATCCCCATCTCCATCCCCATCCCCATCTCCATCCCCATCCCCATCCCCATCTCCATCCCCATCCCCATCACCATCACCATCTCCATCCCCATCCCCATCACCATCACCATCTCCATCCCCATCCCCATCACCATCCCCATCCCCATCCCCATCTCCATCCCCATCCCCATCCCCATCCCATCCCATCCCTACCCCATCCCCATCCCCATCTCCATCCCCATCCCCATCCCCATCCCCATCCCCATCCCCATCTCCATCCCCATCCCCTCCCCATCCCCATCCCCATCTCCATCCCCATCCCCATCTCCATCCCCATCCCCATCCCCATCCCCATCCCCTCCCCATCCCCATCCCCATCTCCATCCCCATCCCCATCTCCATCCCCATCCCCATCCCCATCTCCATCCCCATCCCCATCACCATCACCATCTCCATCCCCATCCCCATCACCATCACCATCTCCATCCCCATCCCCATCACCATCCCCATCCCCATCCCCATCTCCATCCCCATCCCCATCCCCATCCCATCCCATCCCTACCCCATCCCCATCCCCATCTCCATCCCCATCCCCATCTCCATCTCCATCCCCATCCCCATCCCCATCCCATCCCATCCCCATCCTCATCCCCAACCCCATCTCCATCCCCATCCCCATCCCCATCCCCATCACCATCTCCATCCCCATCCCCATCCCCATCCCCATCCCAATCCCCAACCCCATCCCCATCCCTAACCCCATCCCAATCCCAACCCCATCTCCATCCCCATCCCCATCCTCATCCCCATCCCCATCTCCATCCCCATCCCCATCCCCATCCCCATCACCATCTCCATCCCCATCCCCATCCCCATCCCCATCCCAATCCCCAACCCCATCCCCATCCCTAACCCCATCCCAATCCCAACCCCATCTCCATCCCCATCCCCATCCCCATCCCCTCCCCATCCCATCCCCATCCCCATCACCATCTCCATCCCCATCCCCATCCCCATCCCCATCCCAATCCCCAACCCCATCCCCATCCCTAACCCCATCCCAATCCCAACCCCATCTCCATCCCCATCCCCATCCCCATCCCCTCCCCATCCCATCCCCATCCCATCCCCATCCCCATCCCCATCCCATCCCCATCCCCATCTCCATCCCATCCCCATCCCATCCCCATCCCCAACCCCATCCCCATCTCCATCTCCATCTCCATCCCCATCCCCATCCCCATCCCCTCCCCATCCCATCCCCATCCCATCCCCATCCCCATCCCCATCCCATCCCCATCCCCATCTCCATCCCATCCCCATCCCAACCCCATCCCCAACCCCAACCCCATTCCCATCTCCATCTCCATCCCCATCCCCACCCCCATCCCCATCCCCATCCCCTCCCCATCCCCATCCCCATCCCCATTCCCATCCCCTCCCCATCCCAATCCCCATCCCCATCCCCATCCCCATCCCATCCCCTCCCCATCCCCATCCCATCCCCATCCCCATCCCATCCCATCCCTACCCCCATCCCCATCCCCATCCCCATTCCCATCCCATCCCCATCCCCATCCCCATCCCAATCCCCATCCCATCCCAATCCCCAACCCAATCCCCTCCCCATCCCCATCCCCAACCCCAACCCCATCCCCATCCCCATCCCCATTCCCATCCCATCCCCATCCCCATCCCCATCCCCATCCCCATCTCCATCTCCATCCCCATCCCCATCCCCATCCCCATCTCCATCTCCATCCCCATCCCATCTCCATCTCCATCCCCATCCCCACCCCCATCCCCATCCCCATCCCCTCCCCATGCCCATTCCTCTCCACATTGTGTCTCTATGTCAAAACAGTGAATACAACCGAAATCTTTGCGTGAAACAGATCAATCAGCATGAACCCACAAAACTATTGCTCAATGAAAACATCTAAATATATTTTTTCTACATCAGTACAAGTCTGGGTAAAACGTGCAGGCATTTCATGTGATAGTTAAAGCCAACTGTTGTTGTATAGATTCCTGTGTGAATTCAAATGTTGTGTTGGCTAGTCAGTAGCTGTCAGTGTCACTTGCAGCCAAATATATAAGACAGAGTTGTTGTTGAGTTGCTTATATATGTGTTGTATTTCTGAGTCAGTAGGTGGCAGTTCTCCCTACATCAGCATGTGTTGGTGAGTCAGTAGGTGTCACTGTTCCCCACAGCTTCATGTGCAGGACTTGGTTGTTGTTGGGCTGCCCATGTAATTGTTGTGTTGGTGAGTCAGTAGGTGTCAGTGCTCCCCACAGCTACATGTGTAGACCGGGTTGTTGTTGGACTACCCATGTAATTGTTGTGTTGGTGAGTCAGTAGGTGTCAGTACTCCCCACAGCTACATATATAGGACTGGGTTGTTGTAGGGCCGCCCATGTTATTGTTGTGTTGGTGAGTCAGTAGGTGTCAGTGCTCACACAGCTACATGTGTAGGACAGTGTTGTTGTAGGGCGGCCCATGTAACTGTAGTGTTGGTGAGTCAGTAGGTGTCAGTGCTCCCCACAGCTACATGTGTAGGGCTGGGTTGTTGTAGGGCTGCTCATGTAACTGTAGTGTTGGTGAGTCAGTAGATGTCAGTGCTTACACAGCTACATGTGTAGAACTGGGTTGTTGTAGGACGGCCCATGTAACTGTAGTGTTGGTGAGTCAGTAGGTGTCAGTGCTCACACAGCTACATGTATAGGACTGGGTTGTTGTAGGACCGCCCATGTTATTGTTGTGTTGGTGAGTCAGTAGGTGTCAGTGCTCACACAGCTACATGTGTAGGACTGGGTTGTTGTAGGGCGGCCCATGTAACTGTAGTGTTGGTGAGTCAGTAGGTGTCAGTGCTCCCCACAGCTACATGTATAGGACTTGGTTGTTGTAGGGCTGCCATGACATTATGGGATAACTTTAGTTCCTGGTTTCAATATTTCCATTGTGAAACTAGGTACACGTGCAGGCATGTCAAATAGAGCTACAGACCTGGAGCAGGAAGTATTAATGTGCCTCTCCCACTGAAACAGATTATCTTAGGACAGACAGAATTTGTTTTGAAACGGACGTTGCCATAGGAATTAAATAAATATGTGAACAACAGATTTTGTTTTGAGGTTAGATTTTCCAGCTACAGCGACCCAACCAGATATTTGCTTATTTAATAACATCAGCCTGATTTTCATGTAAAGAAAAACACCTTGTAACAATGTCAGTTTTGTGGCAGAAAATTTCTATTGTTTAACAGCCTGAATCAATTTCATTTTGTTCAAGATTTTAAGGGGACAAAATATCTTTTTATATATAAAATCACAGTGTGTGTCTGTGCGTGCGTGCGTACGTACGTGCGCGTGTGCGTGTGCGTCTTACACGTGTTTGCAGGTTTATCATGTGTTGATAGGGACTCAAACAACTATAGGTTTCAATTATTGAAAATATATCTTTGACATATAAAATAACAATAGAAGCAATTTGCATCCGGGTTCATACAGGGAAGGACAAGTTGAATAACAACCGAAATGGGTCAATAATTATCTGAACCATAATCACGGCGTTTGTCTCAGTGTACGTTTCTGGTTTCAGGGCATTGGTCCATATAGTTATAATTCAAGACGTAAGACGAGTGAATCAAGCCAGACAAATCAGTTAAAACCTCAGTGACACAAGACTGCACTGCTTTGAGCGTGAGAAATGTGACAATCCAACACAACGAAACTATTGTGGGGTACACCAACTTGTTAACAGACATGCAACGCTGTTTGGGATATTACAAGATTATTGAGAAACATGCAAGGTTGCCCTTCGTGTAATAATGTTAAAACAAAATACCGGCAACACAACACCGAGATACTGTTAATGCACACAGAGTGGGATCTGTATCACGAGATCTACCATTTATGACACAAGACTGCATTGATCTTTGCATGACTGTGGTGTTCCAAACACACCTGTTGTGAACATTACAGACTATTGTCTGTACCAGATTATTACCGGACATGCACGAATGTTGTGAATACTACATGAGTGTTGAGAAACATGCACAGTTGCGATGCATGCGAGAAGGTTAACACTTTTTACAAGAAACAAAGTACTGACAACGAAATACTTTCAATCCACACAGAGCGGGCACTCTATTTTAAGAATAGTAGAAACGAAGAAAAGAAAAGGATCCGTGAAGAACTCAGTAAAAGACTGTCAACATTACGCAACAGTGGTGGTGGTGTTTTGTTGGTTCATGTAAATGGAACAAAGCCTTGGGACAGATGTCTGGACTACTTTGACAAGATTGTAGGCAGAATAGTGACTGATCTGCTGGAAGCTGGAGAAGTCTACGCCAACACGTACAGACGTCAGTGGTTAAAGGATATCTTTGAGGACTGTGCAGACAGTGCTGATTTTATTTACATACGCATTGAAGAAGTCACAGGTGTTGCTACTGTAGATTTCAATACAAAGCTAGGCAAGGATTATGAAAATGTAAAGCCCACAACACAACAACTACTCAGAGTGCGATCACAGTCGCGCACATCTTCTGGCCCTGTGCTTAAAGAACTACCAAATGACCGTCAGCAGTTACATGAAGATATTCACATTCAGTTAAAAGGCTTTAAACACAAGAACACTGACGAGATACAAACAGATGCCACCAAATTTGTGAAGCACCTGTGGAATCAACTTAAATTAAAGGATAACTTAACTGCTATGTCAAAGATTCCTGATGGTGGATCCTACTACCTTGGAATAGGTGAGGAGGAAACTGACCCTTATCAAACAATTATTCCAGATGTACATGGATTTGAGTTAAAAGTGGACGAGGACAAATTGGAAGGAGCACTCAAGTCAAAGCTACAAGACTGTGTACTATTGAATCGAAGTGAGAACACGTTCACTGCTGTCCCTCCTGACCTGATTGCTATTATATTTCACAAACATCAAACTGAACATCACAAAGTTGTTCTGGAGGTGGCTGTGAAGTGTGTTGAAGGTGTAGTGTTCTATGACAGTCTTGGGCCGAGAACATACGTGATGAAAAAAGGACAAATTTGCAGAATGGACAAAAATGTATGGTTAGAAAGAATAATGTAAACCTGTACAATTTTTAGATGCTTAATCTGTTTTGAAATCATTTGAAGCATGGAGGATAAGAAGGCAGTCCCGAAGATATACGATGACATGTCCGGAGAGCCGGGTGAATCCAAGACTTCTTTTGGTGACATTCATCGTTCAGAGGGTACACCAGGGGAAAATCAGGAAGTCCAGATTGCTTACGACGAAACAACTGATGACGGCAGTTCTCTTGGATCAAGTCCATACCAGTCTGATGAAGAAATCATAAAGAGCCTGTTTGCCCACGGAAATGACTCCACGTCAAGTTCTGATGACCAGGAGACCCTTCATGCAGGTATTATTCATGAACTTCATTGGTGTATCACTCGGGACGTTGTTAAGATTCTTTGCATCAACTCAGAACTTGTCAGTTATAAATACATATGAGTTCATAAATAAAAGTAGCAATACCCTTTCCATGGTCATAATAAATCTCTGGCAATAACATATGTTTTGTTCCATATCAGATTTCCCTTCCATGGCAATTGACATCGAAGAAAGCAGATTAATACTTGATCAGACAACCCTCAAGAGGGCAACAGATCCTGGTAAGTTGTTCAGAGAATATCTTACCTGGTCAGTCATAAATAAATATGAGTTCATAAATAAAAGCAGCAATACCCTTTCCATATTCATAAGAAATCTCTGCCAAAAACATAGATTGTGCGATTCTGACTATATCAGTTTTTAACATCTCATTGATTGGATCTATATTGAATTTGTTGGTAGGACATTTAGCCAAGAAGTAGGCATCCCCAGGGACACCAACTTTGCTCCCCTTCTTGCGGATCTGTTTCTTTATGCACATGAATCGGAATTTTTGTTTTGACTGGCAAGTCAAAACAAGGTAATTTAGTCATGAAGTTTAACTTAAGCTTCAGGTATATCGATGATCTGAAATCGTTCAATTACAATCAAATAGCCAATTCCCTGATTTACCCACCTGAACTAAAATTATAGGAGAGAAGAAGGATGACTTCAACTATCCAACAGTCAACTTTCCCTTCATGTCAAGCAATATTCCAGCAGCTTCAGCCTTCGTAACTTTTAAACTACAATCGAGCATGCTCTTTCTTCCAAGATTTCAAAGAGTGTCATGCGGCTCTTGCTCAGATGCTGTTTGATCATGGTTACAACATTCAAGGCCTCGGTAAAGCTTTCAAAACTTTTATGCCAGAAATGTGGAGGACATTTCCAAATTTGACGCATCAGTGACAAAACTGATGCTATTCCCTATTTTGACTTGTACCATATGTTCCTATGTTTATTTCAGGTGAACAATAGACTTGCCTTTGCAAGTGTTTGTGACAGGTTCCACCACTGGGCCAGGATACGCTCGCCTTTTTGCGAACACCTGGTATCATTACTATTTGATAGTTATTCATAAACACATGCTCATGATATAGTCGGAATTATACAATCGACTCTGCTTTATGCAGAGATTTCTATTGGATATGGAAAAGGTTTTGTCGGTTTATTTATTAGAAAATAATTTATGAGCTAGGAGGAATTAAGGATTATCATAACACATCCAAGGGTGATTGTCTAGTGCTTTCCTCTGCACGTAGCTTACAGTTAATCTCCACACAAATGCTGAGGAATTCATGTTTCTATTAAATATCCCATGATGTTGTTGTTGTTTTTTAACGGTCTATCTTTATGATACATAAGCATACCATGTGACCATGTTTAGGATAGTTTTATTCTTTCAGGTGATAGAATATTTCCCCAAGCTGCTAAGAAGTATCTGGAGCTTCCTGTTACCAGATCGAAGGTGATTACAGAAGAAATCAGCAACCAACCAGTCGAAAGAAAGTCGATCTTTTATCAGAGAGACCTCAAGAGGGCAACAGATCCTGGTAAGTTGTTTAGAGAATACCTTACGAGCTAAGGGGAATAATTATTATGGAGTATATATCCCTACTGAATGTAACATATGTGGTCCCGAGACTTGACATGACCTAATTTGAATACACATGAACATATAACAATCATGACATTTTAGTAGGAGAAGGTAAAATCCTTTACAATCGTCGTCTAATGTGACGTGTGTTGAATTGTATTGAGAGGTGAAACCATCTGTAACTGTGTGTTTATGTTCTGCCGATGTCTAGATCTATGACTCCATTGTTCATAAATAAAAGTAGCAATACCCTTTCCATGGTCATAATAAGTCTCTGGCAATAACATATGTTTTGTTCTATATCAGATTTCCCCTCCATGGCAATTGACATCGAAGAAAGGAGATTAATACTTGATCAGACAACCCTCAAGAGGGCAACAGATCCTGGTAAGTTGTTCAGAGAATATCTTACCTGGTCAGTCATAAATAAATATGAGTTCATAAATAAAAGCAGCAATACCCTTTCCATATTCATAAGAAATCTCTGCCAAAAACATAGATTGTACGATTCCGACTATATCAGTTTTTAACATCTCATTGATTGGATCTAGATTGAATTTGTTGGTAGGACATTTAGCCAAGAAGTAGGCATCCCCAGGGACACCAACTTTGCTCCCCTTCTTGCGGATCTGTTTCTTTATGCACATGAATCGGAATTTTTGTTTTGACTGGCAAGTCAAAACAAGGTAATTTAGTCATGAAGTTTAACTTAAGCTTCAGGTATATCGATGATCTGAAATCGTTCAATTACAATCAAATAGCCAATTCCCTGATTTACCCACCTGAACTAAAATTATAGGAGAGACTTGACATGACCTAATTTGAATACACATGAACATATAACAATCATGACATTTTAGTAGGAGAAGGTAAAATCCTTTACAATCGTCATCTAATGTGACGTGTGTTGAATTGTATTGACAGGTGAAACCATCTGTAACTGTGTGTTTATGTTCTGCCGATGTCCAGATCTATGACTCCATTGTTTTCAAACATTCATTAGGTTTTCATATCATAAGGGTTTAACTGAACATGGTCGTGATCGGGTGTCTGGTTGTACATTTGTAGAATCAAATTGTGTCCAAAAAGTTCAATCATTTCTCTCCCACTTAATAATAATTGAAATTCCTTATTGCTACTGAATTCCAAATCTTAACTAATGTAGTCAATGTTTCACACAAGTTCTATTTTCTAAGGCATTCCTTGTTGTTTGTGTGTTTAGATTACTGTTAATTTGCACACAAATGTCTGAGAAATTCATGGTTCTACAAAATAACATATACACATTCATGCTGCTTTTTGTTTTGAAAGACCTTTTTTTTAAGATTCATTAGAAGATCATGTGTCGATTGACTACTTTATATGTTTAGCTCATTGTATACATTAATATTGATCATCTTTTACTTTCAACAACCCAACCACTCAGTAAAATGTTAATGATAGTTTTATTGTTTCAGGTCACACAAACAAGAAGTATTTGAAGCTTAGTTTGCAGAACCCCGGTGACAAAGTAGATGTGATTTCAAGAGAAATCCAGAATGTTCTACGCCAACATGTTGGTTGGGCCTATGTTGCACATGAAATGGCTCATACTGCCAAGTTTCAATGTCGCAAACTACCTCACATGTCCATCTGTGACGTGGCTATCATTAGAGCCACACAGCCACTGCACATCCTGACATTTGTAGAGGACGGAGGCAAACAGGAGCACGCAGTGGAGTACAATGCCCAGCTGACGAAAAGCATCATGGGTTTCATCAAGAAGAAGACAGGTGTGTCACTTGATGTCGTATATGGAGTTGTACCTGCGTCCACGTGGAAGGATGAGAAGGTGTTCAAGGAGAAGCTAGAGCGTTTAGAAACTGTAGCCAGACGGAAGGCCTTACCTGGATACCTCCACATGGATACCGAGAGATACACAGCCATAACCAAGGCACTGGTTGACCTTTATAGTGAACCAGGGGTGAAGGTAAATTATTATATACAACTGAAAATTTTTCCAATGTTTATTTAATGCATTTTATTGACACCTTATTGCCTAGTATAGTCAGATGGGTCAGTTGGGACTTGGCATTACTTTACAAAACGATAGCAGCCAAAGCAACAGGTATTATTGAACACATGGCGGAAGGTCACATGGCAACTGTTTCGATAACATTTCTGAGAAGCATATATTGACATAGGTCAAATTCTAAATAGTAATTAGGCCTCCAAAAGTATGAATATGGTATACATGTATGCTGTTTTGGAATTTATATTATGATAGTTAAATGTAGTATAACATATATCGTGACTTATTTTTATTATCCAAAACAGATAGAGGAACTAACAAAAGCAGTTACAATATATGATATATGCTTGACGATTTTCCCCAAATGTAGATTTCTAAATGAATTTTGGCATGGAATATTTTGATATAGTACACATGCACGTTTTCACACACAGAAATCTTTTCAAAACATGATTATATGCCTGAATACATCTCCATGGCAATGTGACATAAAGACATAACCTTTATCTCTAAAAGTGACATTTATCCATTGTAGGACCAGCTTGAGAGCGAGATAATTATTGAATCCCTTGAACGTGACGGAAAAGGTGTGTTTTCATATTCTACATAAAGCTTAGAATTGTTAAATGAATTGTAATTTTTTTTATTAAGATGCCACTTTGATGGATAAAAGGGGCAGTGGGTTAGCCTAGTGGTTAAAGCTCGTCACGCCGAAGAGTTCGATTCACGACATGGGTACATTGTGTCAAGCCTATTTATGGTGTCCTCCACCGTGATATTGCTGGAATATTGCTAAATGCGGCGTAAAACCATACTCACTCACTCACATGGATATATGAAGGATGATGGATGGCGAGTGATGACCGTTAGGTGGATGAATGTTGATATATTGTGATGGATGATGGTGGTGACTGATGCATGAACGATGATGGATGGCGAGTGATGAGGGTTAGGCGGATGAATGTTGATATATTGTGATGGATGATCGTGGTGACTGATGCATGAACGATGATGGGTGTCGAATGATGAGGGTAAGGTGGATGAATGTTGATATATTGTGATGGATGATGGTGATGGCTGATGGATGAGTGATGGATTGAAGGGCTCATTGCCCCTAATCACTGCTTGTAATGTGTTCAAAGTCAGATGCTATACCTATGTTTCAGCTCTACTCTTGGAAAAATTTCTAAACCAAAGTGAAACAGATTCTGGCTTCGGTAAGTATGTTCTATTATTTTAAGTAAGTATATTCTATTATATTCTATTATTTTACTTCAACTCGATAACTATTTGAGCGTTATTTATGACATTTCACTATTCATGTAAACCTTTCAGTATTATATTAATATTTAATCATGACATCAGCTTTCAAGGCAGGTGGGGAAGGATTCTGATGTGTCACTCACATCCTCACTCATACACTCAACCTATCATCATTCTTATTACAGGCCGTGATAACAAGCAAGTAAGTGAATCTTATGACATCATATCAGTTGTTACATCCATCATGAAATCAAAGAACATAAATGATCTATTAAAGCCCAAAATGCACTTAAACTACTCCATGGAACATATCTAGAATTGTAGGGGCGGTCGGGTAGCCTAGTGGTTAAAGCGTTTGCTCGTGACACGGCGGAAACCCGGGTTCGATTCCCGACATGGGTACAATTTGAGAAGCTCATTTCTGGTGCCCCCGCAGTGATATTGCTGAAATATTGTTAAAAGCAGCGTAAACCAATACTCAATCAGTTTATTATTGTACTGAACAACAAGTTTTCTTCCTTCCGTTAACATATCGTTTGCATCTTTACAACAGGAAAGGGAGACAGAGACACAAGACGCAGGAGGTCAGTGGCAACATACTATATGCACATAAACAAGTTCCAGCGGACACAGAGAATAGTGAACCTAGAAAAATAACTTGGTATTGAGCATATTCAAATAAAAAAGGACTACACCATTGTGATGAAGAGATACTATTTCTTTCAAATAAATACACATATACTTGATGTGTATCAACCTTTCATTGTCTATTTGCATTTCAGATTCAGTTGCTGAGGATGAGGTTTGTAAGACTAGTTCATCTAGAAACATTTTACTATGAAACGTATGGTCTTGATCTTGTCCCATTCAACAAAACAAAAAAGTGACAGAAATTAATTATTCCTCAATTTACAAAACGTGCGTGATTTTAACATTCACGGTTTAGTCATAGGACTGTTCTACGTTACGTGTATGTTTATCCTTTCAGCAATATCGATGGGGACCTGCAGGGGACCTTATCTGGACGCGTGAGGTTTGACATTATACTTAATCCATTGTTTTCTTGCCTTTGGTTTTTCTTCTACAATTTGAATCAACGCTTAAATGAACCAATATTTGAGGAAATACAAACCACAGTACCCACCCCTAACTGAAACATCTGATTTGATGACCTCATCACCAAAGAAAGGTAGACATTTTGAAATAATCTCACATGTAAATGAAACAAGTACATGTTTGAAAAGACCAATGTCTATTCGAAATAAAAAAATCTACGATTGATGTGTGTTGGAACAGGAATACCAAAGGTTGCAAAAGGATTTTTTGGAGCCGCGGTATAACAGTGCAGGCAAGCTATTGAAGCTGAAGATCCTGCTGTTTGGACCAACTGGCATGGGTAAATCATCTCTTGGTAATGGGTTTAGGACAGCACTCCTCAACATGGAGCATCCTTCAAATTACCATGCTGTGACATCTGGCCAAGAATCTCTTACCACTGGTGTAAGTTATTGTCTTTTCTGTATCCAGTAGGGCTAACTTGGCATTTAGAGTAGTACATAGTTTAATGTTGCGTTTACAGATTCCCCATGTATGTTATGGTGAGGGCGTCAACAATAATATTGACACAATCTACTCGTTAGTCAATGTGGCTAGCCAAAGGTTTGACCTTAAGGTTGCCCCTATCAAGTCAAACGTTCTATATATGTACCTTGGTTCATGCAAATCATCAATACATTTTTTAGAACACAACCAATTCGCCCCCACGTTTCACAGAATAGTCACATGTTTCATCATTTGAAATTTTGAAAGCACTGAGATACATTTGTTTATTAAGAACACCAATGTGGATGTCAACATGATTTCATCTTACAGTTCCAAGGAGCTCTATACAAGAATCACTGGATATATGACATGCCTGGTATATTCGAGTCACGCAGCATCTTATCCTCACACATCATCAGTATTTTGTCAGGGGAAGTTCCATTGCAAGCCAAGGTATGGCAAATAAGAATTTCAGTAACACTTTTCGACACATAACTTCTTAATTCTACACATTTTAGTTTGTCCTCTAAACTAATGATGAGTGAGTGAGTGAGTGAGTGAGTTTGATTTAACGCCATTTTTAACAATATTCCAGTTATATCGCGGCTGTCAGCTTAAGGTGGGAGGAAATCCCAAAGTGATGAATATTTCAGACGTTTACCACTTTGGTGAAACCCACGAGCATGGGTATGGTGCTGACAAACCAAGAAACATAATCGGTGCGAAGCGGGATTCGAACCCCAATCATAGGTTTCTGGCATACCCAAGGGACGCAACTCTGCACAACGAATCGCGGCGCCTGAGACGATGATGAACCATTATAATGATTACTTCATATCTTATATTTTGTATGCATCTCTTGGAACCACGAACAACATTCCATTCTATATCAAAATATACAAATGTTGTCCCTCTTTACAATCCAGATTGGGAAGAATCTTGGAATAAGGCACCAAACCTTCAACACGCCCCACGACCACCACGTCTCCTGTGTGGTTGTAGTTCTGCGACATGAACATGGGGACTTTGGAATGGAAATCCAGAGACAGCTAGAGTGCGTCCGAACAACTGTCGCCAATGGAGGTATGTCTCTTCTGCCTGCAAGGAACGAGCGTTAACGTCCACGTGTAAATGACTGAACACATATATGTGGTGAAACAATGATAAATTAATGATCTTCAGGACAATCAGGTTGTATAACACAAACCCACCTGCCACCAGATCCCATTCCTGCTGCCCCCACTGGTGACCTCTGGACTAGGTGTCTTCTTATAAAACTAACTAATATAGTAAAGATCTGGATTCAAAGTTCGCAACACAATCACCCACCTTGTCCTCACCCACCTTGTATAGTGGGCTTATTGTCATGTTTCAGACACATCCATCCACCTCGTCCTCACCCACCTTGTATATTGGGCTTGTTGTCATGTTTCAGACACATCCATCCACCTGGTCCTCACCCACCTTGTATATTGGGCTTATTGTTATGTTTAAGACATATCCATCCACCTGGTCCTCACCCACCTTGTATAGTGGGCTTATTGTCATGTTTCAGACATATCCATCCACCTCGTCCTCACCCACCTTGTATATTAGGCTTGTTGTCATGTTTCAGACACAGCCATCCATCTGGTCCTCACCCACCTTGTATATTGGGCTTGTTGTCATGTTTCAGACACATCCATCCACCTGGTCCTCACCCACCTTGTATAGTGGGCTTATTGTCATGTTTCAGACATATCCATCCACCTCGTCCTCACCCACCTTGTATATTAGGCTTGTTGTCATGTTTCAGACACAGCCATCCATCTGGTCCTCACCCACCTTGTATATTGGGCTTGTTGTCATGTTTCAGACACATCCATCCACCTGGTCCTCACCCACCTTGTATAGTGGGCTTATTGTCATGTTTCAGACATATCCATCCACCTCGTCCTCACCCACCTTGTATATTAGGCTTGTTGTCATGTTTCAGACACAGCCATCCACCTGGTCCTCACCCACCTTGTATATTGGGCTTGTTGTCATGTTTCAGACACATCCATCCACCTGGTCCTCACCCACCTTGTATATTGGGCTTGTTGTCATGTTTCAGACACATCCATCCACCTGGTCCTCACCCACCTTGTCTATTGGGCTTATTGTCATGTTTCAGACATATCCATCCACCTCGTCCTCACCCACCTTGTATATTAGGCTTGTTGTCATGTTTCAGACACAGCCATCCACCTGGTCCTCACCCACCTTGTATATTGGGCTTGTTGTCATGTTTAAGACACATCCATCCACCTGGTCCTCACCCACCTTGTCTATTGGGCTTGTTGTCATGTTTCAGACACATCCATCCACCTGGTCCTCACCCACCTTGTATATTGGGCTTATTGTCATGTTTCAGACATATCCATCCACCTCGTCCTCACCCACCTTGTATATTAGGCTTGTTGTCATGTTTCAGACACAGCCATCCACCTGGTCCTCACCCACCTTGTATATTGGGCTTGTTGTCATGTTTCAGACACATCCATCCACCTGGTCCTCACCCACCTTGTATATTGGGCTTATTGTTATGTTTAAGACATATCCATCCACCTGGTCCTCACCCACCTTGTATAGTGGGCTTATTGTCATGTTTCAGACATATCCATCCACCTCGTCCTCACCCACCTTGTATATTAGGCTTGTTGTCATGTTTCAGACACAGCCATCCACCTGGTCCTCACCCACCTTGTATATTGGGCTTGTTGTCATGTTTCAGACACATCCATCCACCTGGTCCTCACCCACCTTGTATATTGGGCTTGTTGTCATGTTTCAGACACATCCATCCACCTGGTCCTCACCCACCTTGTCTATTGGGCTTATTGTCATGTTTCAGACATATCCATCCACCTCGTCCTCACCCACCTTGTATATTGGGCTTGTTGTCATGTTTCAGACACAGCCATCCACCTGGTCCTCACCCACCTTGTATATTGGGCTTGTTGTCATGTTTCAGACACATCCATCCACCTGGTCCTCACCCACCTTGTATATTGGGCTTGTTGTCATGTTTAAGACACATCCATCCACCTGGTCCTCACCCACCTTGTCTATTGGGCTTGTTGTCATGTTTCAGACACATCCATCCACCTGGTCCTCACCCACCTTGTATATTGGGCTTATTGTCATGTTTCAGACATATCCATCCACCTCGTCCTCACCCACCTTGTATATTAGGCTTGTTGCCATGTTTCAGACACAGCCATCCACCTGGTCCTCACCCACCTTGTATATTGGGCTTGTTGTCATGTTTCAGACACATCCATCCACCTGGTCCTCACCCACCTTGTATATTGGGCTTATTGTTATGTTTAAGACATATCCATCCACCTCGTCCTCACCCACCTTGTATATTAGGCTTGTTGTCATGTTTCAGACACAGCCATCCACCTGGTCCTCACCCACCTTGTATATTGGGCTTGTTGTCATGTTTCAGACACATCCATCCATCTGGTCCTCACCCACCTTGTATATTGGGCTTGTTGTCATGTTTCAGACACATCCATCCACCTGGTCCTCACCCACCTTGTCTATTGGGCTTGTTGTCATGTTTCAGACACAGCCATCCACCTGGTCCTCACCCACCTTGTATATTGGGCTTGTTCTCATGTTTCAGACACAGCCACCCACCTGGTCCTCACCCACCTTGTATATTGGGCTTGTTGTCATGTTTCAGACACATCCATCCACCTGGTCCTCACCCACCTTGTATATTGGGCTTGTTGTCATGTTTCAGACACATCCATCCATCTGGTCCTCACCCACCTTGTATATTGGGCTTGTTGTCATGTTTCAGACACAGCCATCCACCTGGTCCTCACCCACCTTGATGAGTGTGACCACCAGTTCCGTGACAGAGCCAATCTGCCCAACCTGTACCAGTCGAGTAAAGTACAGGAAGCTGTCAGAATGATGTCAAAGAAGACTGGCGTACTCCCCTCGTCTATCAGTTTCGTCAGGAACTACGTTAATGAAACGGACGCGGATGTGATCTCTAAACTCCAGCATCTCAGGGTTCTTCAGAGCATCCTGTCCAGCTGCGTGGACCAAGAAGAGAAGAAACTCAACCAAGAGCAGCAAGAAAGAATGTACAGTGTAATCAGCAAACATGATCAGAACAGACGTACTCTCGGTCCTCCTACATATGGGAGTGTTAAAGCAATGTTGGCCGTGTTACTTGTGGCCTTAATGGTTGCAGTCATGATCAAACTTTGCAACCTTCCTCCTCCTGCATAGACATACTGAAATGTTGTATGCATACTGATTATCTTTCAAGGTGTTGTTGTTGTTGTTACCTAACGCTGTATGGCGTTGATCTTACAGTGTTCGTAAGGCAAAACGTTGAAAACATACATGTATTGATGTATATTAATGCTTACGTAGCGTCATTCTTTCTTCAGTGTCATCACAAACTGTTATGACCTCAATTTGATTGTTACAAAATGTGTATTTCATATACAATAAGTAGTTATTCCTTCAGCATTTAATTCGGTGCATATATATTTAAACCGTTGGTTTAACTCTTTTCACATTTAGAAAATTACAATAACCTTATTGTGAAAGTGATGATGGCATAAGTTGTATCTAATATTTCCAGTAGGGAGAATGTTTGTGTTTATTTACTGGATTTTCTTTCTTCATAACTATGAGACAATATGCTAGACCTGATGCCCTAGAGTTTTTATCCACATGTTAACAATTCACACCTAATCAATTAGTACAGTACTTCTTTAGTAATTTGGCGGTGGGGTAGCCTAGTAATTAAAGCGTTCTCAAGAAACACCCAAAACCAAGGTTCCATTCCCCACATGGGTACAATCGGTGAGGCCCATTTCTGGTGTCCCCCGATGTGATATTGCTGGAATATTGGTAAAAGCTGCATAAATCCATACTCACTCACTCACCCCTTGATACCTGTGTTAGAATCTACACCCCAGAAAGTCACTACTGATGTATTCAGGAAGTTGTTCCATACAATATGTCACCTCAACCCGGCTCCTGCTAAGTTCATGCTATTAGGCCTCACAAGTGAGTATCAATGTGTTACTAGAGACTTCCAGTTAGTTTGTTATATTTGAGGGTGGGACTATTTTTGTATGTCTCAAAGTATGTGCAGGTTATCTCACCTCATGAGAAAGAAATCCTTTTTAATTGCTTTTGAACACATATATTTAATATATGTCAAACTCCTTGCCAGAATGAGACTGAGACAGACTGACAAAAGAAAATGCTTTACACAGTGAAATACAAACTAAATATCGGCTTTGATTGTCTGCGTTTTTTGTCACATTTATGCATCATCGTTCTGACGACACCATGCAGAGCATCATCACAATGGCGAGGCCATACAGAATAGTATCAAAGGAAAATAATATATATAACAATATTTGGGTTCTCGCTTCAAGAAGTGAAATAGATTTGTGTTATCCCATCAAATCCATTGTCATATGTTTGGCTTACACGCTGTGCAAGGAGAATAAAGTAAACTAACATTATTGAGAAAAGGAAAATGTGTTTTGTTTTGTTTTCATATCGCACTGATCTTGTTAAATGCTGCACATACTGTGGTAGGTGTTGTGCGGTAACACGTTCGGGTTGACTTTTGATTGGCTTGTTTTTTGCAAAAGATGCTGGTCCTACGATTAATGTTTGTAAAGTAATATAATAACCCCCTGCTGTTTTATGAAAGGGTCAAGCACCTCATGCGTTCACTATCATCGGGAACACAAGCAACATGTGATGAGTATTATTTTCAAGCCGCTAGTTTCTTGAAATAACTCTAATGTGTATTTTTCGAGGTTTCTGCACCTGGGTTCAGTCTTTGGGATCTTAAAATGCAATAGCACACCTGAGCCTGTTACTATGGCAACAGAATGCATCTCTTTGTTCATGTTGCTTTTTGTGTCATATAAATGTATATTACATCCACATTATCGCGAAGTACTTAATACAAATTTAATCGTAGCATCAACACATGTTTTTTTTTCTCAAATACAAGTGTCTCTGACATCCCGGTAATGCTCCAGGCTGGCAAGGAGAGCAGTACTGAACGACAGACAATGTTTGCTTGGATACACTTCAGGAATTTCCCTGTTGAGCTGGAGAAGATTGTGTCAATGTGTTCGCAATCAGTTGCACAATAGTGAGGAGAAATGACATGCAGTTATAGCTTTATGTACGTGTAGTGTTAGCACATCGTGTCCGTAAAGGGTGTCACAGCATAAAATACGATGAATAACGACACACCAGACACTATTGTGACTACGCATACATGTTTATGTCACACGTCCTGCTTGCAGGTTGTTTATGAGATATTACTACATACTTGGAAAGCACAATGTTGTGTATATACAGAATATTTATGAAAGCATGTTAAATACTTTGATGCTTTCAACTCACCTTGTGTTTGTGCTATACTTTTTCTTATTCAAATGATCCCATTCTCGACACAATCACTGTATTCCAGTAAATTGTTTATGAATTGTTGCTGAAACGTTAATTCCGAAATGTAGAAGTTATGTTCCTACCAGTGAATACAAATACATTCCTACATCTTGTATATTAACATTGTCTATACCTGTATTTGCTCAAAACGACAACATAAAGGACGATTTCCGACCGTTACTCCTGCTTCAAAGTATGCCTAGGTAATGACAACTATAACCCTAACCCTAACTTTAAACCCTTACCCTAACCTTAACCCTAACCCTAACTTTAAACCCTAACCTAACCCTAACCCTAACCCTAACCCTAACCCTAACCCTAACTTTAAACATTAACCCTAGATATACATTTACATTAATTAAATACTGGGTTAAAGGGTTATGATTTCTTTTTAAATTCGAGGCAGAGAATATGGCTAATTTTGAAAATTGTTGTTGAAGTTGTTCATCAAAATATACACACAAAACATTTTTTCTAAGCATACTTTAAATTGCTAGGCACTGTACAACATGGGCTAGTGGAGTTCCCCATGTAATTGCTGTGTTGGGGCGTCAGTAGGTTATACTGGTCCCTGCAGCTACACGTGTATGAGAGTGGGCTGTAGCTAGTTACATATGCAGGACATCACGCTCCACCAGAAACCAGGGACTTGCTGTGTCGAGTGAATCAAGTGTTTAACATACTTTCCCGAGGGACTGATAATGATATGTATCAAATGCGAATTGTTTGTGTTATATTTTACCTTAGTATTGTTTTAAGAAAATATGCAAAGATGTTTGTTTCCCGACCACAAGCAGAGACATCAACCCAGTCCTTCTATTGTTGCCACGTCACCACATACATTGCATTATGAAACATGGATGACAACATTCCCAAACATTTGCTTCTCAGCGCTGGTATGAATACACATATATATAGCCCGCTCCGAGAACAACTGAACAATTGGCGTGAATCAGCATGAACCAACAAATACAATGCTCGATGAAAATAACTAAAAATAATTTCTGACACACCAATGCCCTTGTGAGTAATATATGTAGGCATCCCTGAAAGCTAAATGTGAGATTGTTGTTGATTTGTTTCCAGTGTGAATTTAAATGGCAGGGTCGACAGCTTACGTGTAACTACAGACCGTGACATTATACTGTAGTTACTGGTTTCAATAGCTCACTACACAAGGAAATATTTGCATTGTGAAATCTAGGTCACTTATCTGCAGGCTGTACACATGCAGGCATGTCAAATACAGTACAGACGTTTGTCTCTGTTTGAAATAACTATGTGTATACAATATACGACAAATGATTATAGCCTTAAAAGAAGATGGCATAATTAATAGTAACTATAATTCAGAAATATGACGAAGTAGGATAATTAAAACTTGTTTGAGTTATTCATCACAAGCAGTACAAGGTATGAATATATGTTAAGTGCTGAGAGTAGCATGGATGTGTACGGTTGTACTTTCGTGTGCATACTATCCTATGTCTCTACAACACTCCAATCCCGTCTCCACGTACTACGTACTACCCCATACATCCTACCCGATGTCTCTACATCACTCCACCCTCGTCTGTACATCCTACCCGATGTCTCTACAACACTTCACACCCGTCTGTACATCCTACCCGATGTCTCTACAACACTTCACACCCGTCTGTACATCCTACCGATGTCTCTTCAACACTCCACACCCGTCTATACATCCTACCCGATGTCTCTACAACACTCCACACCCGTCTGTACATCCTACCGGATGTCTGTAAAACACTTTACACCCGTCAGTACATCCTACCCGATTTCTGTACAACACTCCACACCCGTCTGTACATCCTACCCGATGTATCTACAACACTCCACACCCGTCTGTACATCCTACACGATGTCTCTACAACACTCCACACCCGTCTATACATCCTACCCGATGTCTCTACAACACTCCACACCCGTCTGTACATCCTACCCGATGTCTCTACAACACTCCACACCCGTCTGTACATCCTACCCGATGTCTCTACAACACTCCACACCCGTCTGTACATCCTACCCTATGTCTCTACAACACTCCACACCCGTCTGTACATCCTACCCGATGTCTCTACAACACTCCACACCCGTCTGTACATCCTACCCTATGTCTCTACAACACTCCACACCCGTCTGTACATCCTATCCGATGTCTCTACAACACTCCACACCCGTCTGTACATCCTACCCGATGTATCTACAACACTCCACACCCGTCTGTACATCCTACCCGATGTCTCTACAACACTCCACAGCCGTCTATACATCCTACCCGATGTCTCTACAACACTCTACACCCGTCTATACATCCCACCCGTCTGTCTGTACAACACTCCACACCCGTCTGTACATCCTACCCGATGTCTCTACAACACTCCACACCCGTCTGTACATCCTACCCGATGTCTCTACAACACTCCACACCCGTCTATACATCCTACCCGTCTGTCTGTACAACACTCCACACCCGTCTGTACATCCTACCCGATGTCTCTACAACACTCCACACCCGTCTATACATACTACCCTATGTTTCTGCAACACTCCACACCCGTGTCTACGTACTATCCCATATTTCTACAACACTCCACACCCGTGTGTATAGATAGATAGATAGATAGATAGATAGATAGATAGATAGATGCCTAAATATAGAATCTAGGGACTGTCGATGTAGACTTGTAGCTCATGATATTATTAGGCATGTCTTTTTGTATTGTACATTGAATATGAATCACAGAAATCATTTGTGATGTTTTAGATGTTTCTACCTTTGCAAGACTATGTAGTGATATAATCCTGTCTGTACTACTTGGCGGTATGCCTGAGTGTGTTAGCTCTTTATCTCATAGTCTATGGAGTGACCTTATGGTTATTGTGTCAAGATACTGTAGGAAATGGCTGTTTCTGTTACAAATCAGTTATAAGAATGCTGGATTGTCATGCATTTTGTAGTTATCACTTCTCATAATTGTACTACTGTACAGCTGTCAGGACACGCATAGTGCAAGGGAGACTACTCCTTCAGTCACACCAACATCATCACAGCAGTGAGGTGGAAGAGGCTCACTGTCAGGACACGGCACAGTGCAAGAGAGACTACTCCTTCAGTCACACCAACATCATCACAGCAGTGAGGTGGAAGAGGCTCACTGTCAGGACACGGCACAGTGCAAGAGAGACTACTCCTTCAGTCACACCAACATCATCACAGCAGTGAGGTGGAAGAGGCTCACTGTCAGGACACGCACAGTGCAAGGGAGAGTACTCCTTCAGTCACACCAACATCATCATAGCAGTGAGTTCCAAGAGGCCCACTGTCAGGACACGAACAGTGCAAGGGAGACTACTCCTTCAGTCATACCAACATCATCACAGCAGTAAGGTGGAAGAGGCTCACTGTCAGGACACGAACAGTGCAAGGGAGACTACTCCTTCAGTCACACCAACATCATCACAGCAGTGAGGTGGAAAAGGCTCACTGTCAGGACACGCACAGTACAAGGGATACTACACCTTCAGTCACACTTCTTTGGGCGATACTGTGTCATGCACAGCTACTTTCACAAGTGTTATTTTTGTTTGTTTGTTGATTATTGCAATATTCCCAGTGAACAGGAATGTAGCAGATACATTATTTTGTATATTGGCAGAAAGTCATTTAATAGTTGTATTAATATTTGTACAAACATTTCATTTTAGAATTGCAAGCATATCCTATCTTATTTGAACCAAACACCTTAGATAACATAACCATATTTTGTAAGCATCACTACAATAATTACTTAACCAAAAGATTTGGCACGCATCAACCAAGTCAGCGAGCCTGACCACCCGATCCCGTTACTTGCCTCTTTACGACAAGCATTGTCGCCTTTTATGGCAAGCACGGGTTGCTAAAGACCTATTCTCACCCGGATCTTTATGGGTATTCTACATGTCTGACAATTAAGAAGCATCAAAACATAATGCTATGAGCTTCTACGGCATCTCAACAATGTAATACGGTTTCAACTCTGTTTAACAATAAATTGCACTGCCTTATAACAAGCTATATCAAAGATCTGATATTGTTTAATAATAGTCAAATGGTCCATTCTTTTCCAATCATTTATGCAAATAGAAATATAAAAGACCATCGAGAACGCCTTATCATTTTGATTTTAGATCCATGCATAAAGAGTGAATTATCCAGAAGACTCTTTGTCAAAAGGGATGACTTGACATTTGATCGTATCATTAAGTTTGTAAGAGATATGGGGGAGAGGGGGCCAGTTAACAAGTTGTATTTGTTATCCCTAAATATTTGACAGACCCGAACTGCAACGATGCTTTTTAAACTGCCATTCCAGAGTTTGCCAAGAGTTTTTTTCCTTTGAGCTGTTCATGATCTAAAACCTTACTCTGATGCCCTCTGTGCTGAAATCTGAAACTGTCATTTCTCTTCCATTAGAATATTGTAGCCCACAATTAGCACGTGGATGTAGCCTCTCATTCCTATCACATATAGTTTTTAATACACAATCATAATTGATGCTTACTTTTCGTTTACAATTTCATTTAAGTAAAAAATCAGTTCTCGAGAACCGGATCTTTTCTTATCATCCGCATGACATACTATGGTAAGGATGAAGGATTCATAACATATTGTAAGCCCGATGTTTAACTTGCAAATACCAAAGTGTACCCCTATCTTTTTATTGCACGCCAAAGATTCTGATTGCAGCATACACACTCATTTTACAATATGATGTAACACATTTAGAAGGCCAGACTGCGTGGATACGTTTCATAATCATTCCCTAGAACTCAAAATGGGGGAGAGTTTATGATCGATATATTACATAGTTAGCTCAGAACACTCCAGCGTTTCAGCTAATATAGTCCATACTTAATTCAGAAGGCTGCTTGGGAGATGCATTTGTGTATTGAATATATTTTATGTTTACTTCAGAACACAATTAGGAGCACGGGTGGCCCAATCGTCTAAGGCGCGAAGATTCGCTGTGCAGAGTTACGTCCCTTGGGCAGGCGAGAAACCTATGATTGTAGGTTCGAATAACGGTTCAACCCGATTATGTTTCTAGGTTTGTCAGCACCATACCCGTGCTCGTGGGTTTCACCTAAGTGGTAAACGTCTGAGACCTGCATCACGTCTGGCTTTCCTCCCACATTAAGCTGCCACCCTGCGATATAACTGGAATACTGTTGAAAGCGGCATTAAACCAAACTCACTCACTAACTCAGAACACAATTGTAGGAAGATTGGTATCAAACATTTTTATTATTCATTCAGAACGCTACATTCGCAAGATCACCGGATATTATATATAATTTATGAAGGGACATAGAACTTATAGCGTATAGGACATGGAAACTTATGTATATACCAAATACAATGAAACATGCCAACAACAGTAATATACAGCATACATATCCTCTAAATGCTGCATGTTAATCATCCTACACATTTCTCTTGTCTTTACCCAACCCGCACATATAACAGAAATAGATTAGTATTAGCCAAATATTAGAAACTCACATTTAATCAAATTCAACCTTTAATCTAATATCTGTTTGAACACGAAGTGCAACACAAGCAGATTAATATTGCATCCTTTTCATTTCTTAAGGATCTGTGCATCCATGCTCAAAGCTGATTTCATGAATAACAATACCTTGTATCTGACTGCTTGCTAATCCCAGACTAAGTTTCTCAGTCTGACATGGTGAAAACTTGCTGACTCGACATATAACATTTGCCGAACTTGCTAAACATGTCTCTAAAATTTGCCGGTAACATGGTTAAGTTGTTTATGTTTATTGTTTGAACGCAAATTCTGAAACATCCATTGTGTTTCCTCTGGCCAACACTCACACCCGTCAGTTCCCACAGTCTGCTGATGTGGAGGCGTCATGTGAATTCCAGAACTGCCACTTCCACCCCTTCTTCTTTGGGCTGAACTGAAAGCATTAACAAAACAGTTCACACGTGGGTGCAGCCATTCACCCATGTCACAAAATATTCCATGAAAAACAAATTGCTAATTTCTATGGGTTCTGTTTCCCTGAAACAAGAAAGGTAAATATAACTTTAATGTGAATTTTTTGGGACATAGCATTACAATTATGTATCAATCCCATAGAAATATCAGTCCCGATTATCTGCCGACACAGGCTCCACTGGGCGTGAAAGACAAACCAGTGGTGCAAGAAATAGTACGTGTTTGTAGACTATTGCCGCACAGGATGGCGTCCTGTAGCAAAGCGGCCCCAAGTGGGCAAAGTCAACATAATTACATATAAAGGGCTGTGTACCTTCAGCACGTCGTCTATGATCTCATGAAGTGATCCTGTTGTCAGCACCAGTTGGTTCTCTATCCTGCTGGCGATATCGTCTCCGAGAAGAGGTGGAGCTGCCAAGAATTTCACTCATTATCACATCCTTTTTGCACATAAGACAAACTGACTACTGGGGTGTAAGTATTAAATCTTACACATTATGATGCTGTAAAGGAATCAAATGTCATTGTGGTTGCTTACAATATCTCATAATCATTATTTGAACATAACTAAACGCGTCAGTACATCTTTCTTGAAACGTATGTGACATGTTTTTTTCACACTGATTTTCAAGAGTAAGATTTTCAAACTTACGATGCAGCTTAAAGATTCATTGAATGTTTCCATAACACCCATCATGTAGATACGAGAACATCGGGTCGAATACGTTCACTTCGTTTCTCCCGACATTATTTCTGTTGTTACTTCTCTAATTAGAAAACTTCCGTATAAAACTTACATCTTCCCCGTGTCTCTGACATTCCTGCAGCCTGAAAAATATATAAAAGTTATCTTGTGATTTGGTAAAACGTTTATTTAAATACACACAGAGTAGCAGCATATTTTGTATAACAAGACACTGAAAGGCATTCTGCGCGCCAACACACAACCATGCTTTTCATTCCAAAAGGTCAACTGACAACTGTATATGCAATGTTAAAATACATAAGACACTTGCCAGTTTTATCGGAAAGAGACACAAAACTCATTTGAACAGTTACAGATATTTTGATATTGCATGTTATGGATTGTTTTGATTCAATTTCATGATTGGTTACGACATGGATCATTTGTCATAACTCATTATTGTTTTACATCAACGGATATACATAGATTGCATTCTCCTAATCTTCACTAAACAAACGGGACGGTGCCAAGTGGTTAAAGCATTCTCTCGTCACACCGGAGACGCGGATTCGATTCCCCAGATAAGTACTAAGTGTGAAGCTCATTGCTTGTGTGATATTGTTGGAATATTGCTAAAACCGGCGTAAAGCCAAACTCACTCACTAACTAAACAAACAGCTTATTTGGCAGAAGATTAATTAAGAAGCAAGTTTTAAATCTGCAATATTTCAGAGGAAGAAATACTTAGGTTTGACATGCACATTCTAAATTATATAATTGATGAAAAGTAGTACCACATCTTTTGTCACAGGTGTTACCTTTGGTGCCTGGTTCTGTTGACATTTCAGCACCTCATCAAGTATGTCCGGTAGTCTCCCTGGTGGCAACTTAAACTTGTTCTCCACCGCTTTTTGTAAATCAGTTGTCTTTGTCTTCATTTCTTCCAGTATAGTCTGTAACCTGTCTGAAATATCCCAGAGAGATGTTTGATTCAGTGACGCATCTGTATTCTGGAACTGAACCTTCAGGGTAATTACTATTGAGAATATTTACATTTATACAATGTGATCTGGAAATATGATTACAGAGACCCAAGTTTATTAGGGTTTCAAAGTTCATGTTACCGAGATTTTGGTCGCATCCTGGTCCAGAATGTGGAGGGCAGCAAGTGTTACGTCCTGACTCCTAGAAAAGAGAAACAGGAACTGCACACATGCAAGATTATAATAACAGAAAGGAGTATGTAATACATGTAATATGCTCAAATAAACATGCTTGATTATATTTTGTCATCTTATAAGATGTATATATGATTTAATAAGTCTTGTTTGACAAATGGCTGGAAGAATACTATACCCCATATGTTATCCACGGTGAAGACATGCTTTACATAGGAGCTGAAATAATGATCAAACTTTGTGTGACCCGAGCGTCACCATATATATATATATGTGTGTGTGTGTGTGTGTGTGTGTGTGTGTGTGTGTGTGTGTGTGTGTGTGTGTGTGTGTGTGTGTGTGTGTGTGTGTGTGTGGTTGTAACGTTTCTTCAAGCAGCAATCACACACGAACCTGCCTCTCTGCTCCCAGTGGTGGCACATCTCTCCTGGTGGTGTTGGGTGTGTGATCATGAGAAACGACAGGTTCATCTCCACCCTGAAGTCTGACTGTGACACCAGCGATGTTGTCACCTTGACTCTTGGCATCACTTCTAGTAGAGTTGCCTTCGTCCACTTGGTTGTTGGCATGACTAACAGTAGAGTTCTTTTTGTCCACTTGACTGATGGTGTGACTAACAGTAAAGTCCTCTTTGTCCTCGAGGCTGTTGGCACGACTACCAGTAGAGTCCTCTTTGTCCTCTAGGCTGTTGGCACGACTACCAGTAGAGTTCCCTTGGTCCACTTGGCTGTTGGCTTTACTTCCTTGAAAGGTGCCAGTGTCTTCTTGGCTGTTGGCATGATGTCCAGTAGAGGTGCTATTGTCTTCTTGGCTTATGACTTTACTTCCTGTAAAGGTGCCATTGTCCTCTTGACTCTTGACATGCCTTGCAGTAGAGGTGCCATTGTCTTCCTGGCTGTTGACATGCATTGCAGTAGAGGTGCCATTGTCTTCCCGGCTGTTGACATGACTTGCAGTAGAAGTGCTAATGTCTTCTTTGCTGTTCGTTTTACTTCCAGTAAAGATGCCATTGTCTTCTTTGCTGTTGGCATGACTTGCAGTAGAGGTGCCATTGTCTTCCTGGCTGTTGGCATGCCGTGCAGTAGAAGTGCCATTGTCTTCTTGGCTGTTGGCTTTACTACCATGAAAGTGGCCATTGTCCTCTTGGCTGTTGGCATGACTTGCAGTAGAGCTGCCATTGTCTTCTTGGCTGTTGGCATGACTTGCAGTAGAGGTGCCATTGTCTTCCTGGCTGTTGGGTTTACTTCCAGAAAAGGTGTCATTGTCTTCTTGGCTGTTGGCTTTACTACCATGAAAGTGGCCATTGTCCTCTTGGCTGTTGGCATGCCTTGCAGTAGAGGTGCCATTGTCCTCTTGGCTGTTGGCATGATTGGTTTTACTTCCAGTAGAGATGCCATTGTCTTCTTTGCTGTTGGCATGACTTGCAGTAGAGGTGCCATTGTCTTCCTGGCTGTTGGCATGATGTCCAGTAGAGGTGCTATTGTCTTCTTGGCTTATGACTTTACTTCCTGGAAAGGTGCCATTGTCCTCTTGACTGTTCGCATGCCTTGCCGTAGAGGTGCCATTGTCTTCTTTGCTGTTGGCATGACTTGCAGTAGAGGTGCCATTGTCTTCTTGGCTGTTGGTATGACTTGCAGTAGAAGTGATAATGTCTTCTTTGCTGTTGGCATGATTTCCCTGGAAGCGGTACTTTGTCGTTTCGAGTTCTGAACAAAATATATGCATCTTGTATTAAATGTTATCATTAAATGATAACATCCGACATTCATTACATCAATCGGTTGACACTGGGCGGCGAAAAAGTGCTAGAACAATATTTTTTTTACAGTACTGTATCAGTACATCTCTCACTGTCATTATCATGCAATTGAAACTGCACATGATTATCAAAGAACTTTTACCTTGACCTCCACAGAGATGAACTGTGCCCACGTATCTTCGTAGCTGTGGTTGATCATCAGACTTCTGCTGATATAGTGAACACGATAATCATATTAAAAAACAACTCAATACACAGTGACGGTTAGTTTCAGTGGTATCTTTATTTAATCATAGTTGATTTGTGACTCCTATCTACCTTAAATCCATATTCTGTCCCAAGCACATCTCCAAGTCTTTTAAATGTGCACTTGTTGACTTGTGTATCAAGACGTCCTGATGTTATAAGAAGCTTGTCCGTGTACTTAAAGCACGAGGCACAATCTGGAGTGAAGCCACAGCCATACTGCTGTGACATGGCAAAGCCGGTGAAGAGAATAATGTTCCTACAGCTAAGATTACCTGAAATGAATACGGATAAATACATTTACATGTTTTGTTCTTTGTATTAATTACGTTAAGATTGATATATTCATTTTTGAATAATCTACACAATTTACATACAATCAATCGTTGTAATGCTTGAACTTAATCCTTTCTCGACATGGTTAGCTTCCGAAGAAATGGTATATGTAATAACGATTTGTAGTGTTATTTAGCTGTCCTTAATTTCACATTCACTCGACTTGCCAAACTTCAGAACTTCAGAATAAACTGCACCCCATCTTAACAATTGTCACCTACAAAAGTTCTTACATTTATCCAGGAACCATAGAACCACTCCATTAAATTCAACATTCGGTCTGCCTTGAGGCCGGAATATCACAATGAGCGGCGGTGAAACAGTGGAGGACAGTTCCCTCTTCAGCTCAACATGGAGAGACAGTTGGTCTATAAAAGACTCCATGAGTTTGTCATCATAACGTGTGCTGGGCAGAACATAAATCGGCAGTGACATATCTGAAACAGATTTTAACAGGCTTGACACATATATTTGCTACAATGTTAATATATTGATACATACATATAAAAATAAATAATTTTAAGTACATGAATGAGTACTTTCTATTCCGATTTTATTATGAGAAGAAAAATCATTGATAATTGTTCAACAAACTAATATTACATAAATCTAGTTGCGTCATGGTCTCACATACTGTGTTTTGGTGTATCTACACAGCACTTTGATTCAAAGGAGGGCATAGCATGTTTAAAACAATAGATGCCATTTTCCACTGACTGGGTTTTCGAATCCAGATGTGCCTCATTACGGCAGAAGTGCGTTTCCCTGAACATCATTTCCACACCAGGTAAATCATTGTCTTGAAATGTTTGTACTTTCAGCAGAACACAACATTTTTTTTTTTTTATTTATCGTGGAAAGAAGCGAACGTAAAATGGTCTCTCATTTGCAAGAAGAAGATGGTTAGATGATAGATAGATGATAGATACACGCGTCTTAAAGATTACAGCTATAAACGTAACTTCTCCAAGTTGACAACACATGCATCCAGAGACAATATGTCTTTGAAGACAACAAAAATAATGACACCAACGCTTTACATGAAAGAGACAGATCCACCTTTCATGTTGCTTAGTTGAGAACCAAGGTTATTTTGTAAACAAACGTATAGTGATTCCAGCGCTAATATAATAGGGACATGAATAATAGTAATAGAAAGAGTATTGAAACATGTACCTCAACCACGCCAACCAGACAACTGCAGACACATATGTATGTTCGCTTGAACTTGTCTCAGCTATCCCCTTGTCAGGTTGTCAGGCATTGCACACCACTCTGCTTGAGGGAGTCGTCTTGTTTATACCGCCGCCCCTGGCAACTATCGCAGTCAATGTGTGCACACCAAGCTGGTTGGACGTGTTATTCCTCGCAAGCCACAACACAACGTAAGTTAACATATCACTTGACCTTCCTTCTTGTATCTTTCTTCATTAGAAAATATATCTTTGCAATATCTAATTGTTCCCAAGTCAACATCTGGTTGTTTTATCCATGAATGAAGCTATAGCATATTATTGAGTCATTAATTTACTTGGAAATAAAATAAGCCAGCACATAATATGTTCTGTATAGGTGACTATTGTAATGAATAGACACAAAATCAGTTGACTGTTTGGTAAAATATATATACTTATTTAATATTGTCATGAAGCAATGACATATGCTTAAACTACTGTAAACATAACTAAGTTAAACTGTTTTTGTTGAATTTGGTTTATTTGGATAATAATAAAAAAATACCAGCTAAAAAAAAAACACCATAAGGATTCTTTCCTGAAAGGTATACAACCACATATATTGAGTCAAATTAAAAACTTCACATTTTTAAAAGTAATCCCATATATGATATACAACGGACAAATGTATCAGAGAGGGTATTTTTTAATCATTAATGTCCAAAGAAGGATTTTAATTAACGGTGGTAACCATAATTTGTTCCAAGCACGGTATTCGGTAATAACATCAGTTTAGCAAGCACGAGAATCTGATGGCACACAAGTTCAGTAGCGTGTATGGCCACCATGTGCGTTGACAACGTTATAGAACCCAAGTAAGTATAACCGATATTTGCTTTTATTGCATGTAATTTATTTATACCCACTTGGGTGTCCCATTTCTTCTGCATTAGGTCTCTGATATAGCATCTAATAACAGGTTTATAGTCACTGTATGGTAGGAGAAGTGGTGTCACAGATTTGTTGAGAGCTGCCTTTGCTGCATCATCAGCCATAGTGTTACCCGTGATTCCAACATGACTGGGCAACCAGCAAAAGACTATGTCGTATTGGCCATTAGCGAGGTCATTATATATTTCTAAAATGTCTAAAATGAATGGATGATGTGAACAGTAAATACACAATAAGGGCCCACAATGATAACTGGTCAACATGTTAAAATTTTAGGATTGTGAGGTTTTTAATTTGGTTCAG